AAGTGTTCGTTGATTTTCGTCCAATGTTGACCATACACCAATAGTGCACGATTCAGTTGTTGATGATGTATGAAATTTCTGTTTACCATTAAAAAATACTTGATTTAATGTATATGATTTTCCATCTCCTGTATTTCCAATAATAGAAACACATTTAACTTTAGGATCTTGTTGTGAACATTTAAATTGACGAATAAAATCGAATTCACTGTTAACCTAGACAATTATAAGATTAATTGATGGAGTTTTTTTTTGTTTTTCTCTAAGAAATCCTATTAGAAACATTGACTTACAGTTAGATGTTCACTCGCATTCAATAATAGAAAGACTCCATTTGAATCAGTATTAGCTGAAGACTTATGTGAAAGACGATTATGATTTCTAGTAGTTTGATGATTATTATTTTGATCGTCAGCTTCATTATCTAACATTGATTCAAGTAACATCTGCTCATTTAAATTATGTTGTTTCGGTATATGATTAGAATTGCTAGTGTAAGGACTACTTGTAGAATTTGAGGATTTTGATTTGATTGAATTTTCTTTACGCTGAGGGGGTGAATTATAATTTTCATCACTATCATCAACTTGAACATCTTCAAATGAACACGGTGATTGAATTGGAATTTGATTTCGTTGTTTTACATTTGAAGATGAATTTATTTTTATTGGTTTTGTTGCATTGAGATGCTGATCACTAGATACAAAAAAATTCATTCAACGATGAGTTATGTAGTTTTTCTTTTTCAAAAGACTCCTTTACACATAGGAGTATGATTAAGGCTGTTGTCCTTAACTATAATAGTTAGTTTGCTCTTTTTTTTCTAAATATAATCTAGTAAATATCAACGAGTTGTTCTAGAGTACTTACGCATTCGTTTTCATAGTTAAGATTTGCCCTTCTTTACATTTTTTTGGTCGATGACTTTTTCCATCGGAAAATTGATGTTTATTTTCGTAACATGAATAACAATACAATAATGTACAAGTTGGACAGTAGAAAACAGCGGCGTGACTTCGATCAATAGAACAATATTCATCATCGATTTCGTCTAAATTTAATCGTTCATGTCTTTTATTATCAAAATTTTCATGAATATCTTTTTCACATAAAACACATTGTAATGAGTTGCATTGTATACAATAAAATGTTGCTTTGGGTGACATTTCTGTGTCACATGCTAAGCGCTCTGTACATGTTAAATAGGGCGCTGTTTTACCAGCAAATTTCGATGATAATGATAGATTGTTCATTGCAGATGAAGGTGAATTGTCATTACTTTTATATTGATGATTCCATGAACATATGTTTTCAGCTGCTTTCATGTCAAAATATTGGGAAATTTCATCAAATAGATTGATGATAACGAATTTCTAATATGAGATGTAAGTAACGTGACTCATTCGATTGACCAATGGAAATTTAATATGATGATATATATATATACTAATCGTCAATAGATTATTAGATGCACTTATTATTACAGAGACAAAATACAATATATTTTTTTATAATACAATGAGATATAACTATACTTTTCTTAGTAGATGTCATCAAATGTAAAAATGATGTCGCTACTCATTGCTTTTCTCGTGCTGATAGACTTAGGACAGTATTCCGGTCAAAAATACGCCCGGACTTTTCCGGCGAATTCCTGCCAAGTTCCGGTGCTTTCCGGCAGGAATTGATCGGAAATCACCGGAAAAAAATGCGAAAAAATTCCAACCGGAATGCTGCTTCCACAAAATCAACGGGACTACCCGGAACCGACCGTTTCCAGGCCGGACTGTTCGACCTGAGTTGCCATGAAATTTTGTACACAGAATGATCTCATCAATATCTCAGTCGAGTTCGAAGATGAAAGTAGTCCGTTAAGAATTTCAGTATCCTATCGACATAAAGTTTGCACATATAACAAACATCATTATTGATTAACTTCTAAATTACCAGTCACAATTGTGGAACTTTTGTTCTTGATATAAAAAAAACAAAAAGAACAGAAGCTACTCAGCATTAACTTGTAATTTGAAATTAACCATCGAACTATAAGAATTCAGTAATTTGAGTAGCTTCGGTCTGGACTTACATGGACTGCCTCATAAATACAAAAACAGAAACAAGTTAAATCGATTAATAAGATGTTCGTTTTCGGATATGAATATTAATTTTATGACATCAATGACTATTTATGTCGAGGAGTATGAATCAGAAAATTTTAATTAAGATAATATAGTCGTCAAAAGATCCCTAATGTATTATATCAATTCGAATCATAAATGGGAACAGGACAGGAAGGAAAATGTTGTCGTGCTGCCATTTCTGATTAATATAATTGGTGAACAAAAGAGTAAACGTCAAAGAAGATTATTACATCTGACGTGAGACGTTTTAAATTTAGATATAAATCGATTATTAATAATAACAAATATATTTGGGTCCAATACTAGTGACAATGCTGTTCTCTAGTAGTAAAGTTTTTGTGCGTTCTAATATACAACTAGCGATGCGTATTTGTATAATTTAACACTAAATGAATTTCGTTTTATTTATATTTAAATCTTGCGATTCTTCTACCAAAATAAGTTTCAGTAAAACAACACAGAGAAATATTCAGCATTTCATTTTATCATAACCATACGAAAACTGTATCTTCATCTATCGTGTTTGGAACTTCTGCCCGAAAAGAACGAGTAGTTGAATTTTGTTGATCACGTAATGAAAATTTAATTTCGACAGACCATTGATAAGTATATTTTACATTTCAACAAGTTCACGATTAATATCAGTTAATTCTATGAATTGCAGATGAGGTAGTCGCTCGACGATTAACTTGGCAATGCTTATTAAATTTGATTGGTTCCAAGCAGTAAATACATTGAGCTGTCATAGGCCAATAGATGTGAGACCATATTGCATAAAGAAGCATCGTTAAAGACATCGATTAAAGTTTCCTCTTTCAAATCGACGTCATAATCATTTTCTGATTTGTAATGAAGTTCTAGAACACGTAGATTACTTGTTTGAGAAAAGAGAACGTGAAAATATGTTGCATTGAATGATTGAGCAATATTAAGAGACGTAATTTGATGCCAAGGAACGATAGGGGGTGACAAAGAAAGAAATTCATCATTGATTTGATCGTCATACTCACTGATAATAATCTCATTGCAGCGAAACCACTCACTGTTGAAGATGGATCTATAATATGGCCATCGACTTCGCCTAAATCAAAAAACAAATTTTTATTAAGAAAAACTATTCAACAGACGATGCGAAAGTTTCTGGACCCACAAGTTTGTTTATTATTGATCATTAAGAAATCATTCCGGGCGAACCAGATATTATGTGAATAATACTTCAAATATCTCAAATATCTTCGGTCAGATGGGTGATAGTAAAAGTTAGACGGTGGAGAAAATTTTCATACCTTACCACTGCACCTTACCTTACGAAATTCAAATAAACGTCGTCGACAGATGCCATTCATTAGTTAATCAACTAATCCAGAATTCAATGAAGGCACAATGTTTCTGACTAGAAAAGTATGGGTGGCAAATGGGTTTTCCGCTATTCAACATGATGATCCTCTCATCACAGCATGGTTAGTGATCTATATGAGCGCGGTTTTGCAACATTTCAAATCGATGCAAAAATTATTCGTTCAGTTACAAAAACGCTTTCAGTTGCACGTGCATATTCGTACTCCGTAGCGTCACCAACGATCAGAAATCTGTGTTTTTGAAAAATCTAGCCAAGCTTAGAAAAATGTTAACACATAGATTCTAGTCTTGGATATTGTCTAAAGAATATTCTATTTTATTTCCTAAAATTATGCATCGGCTCAATGCCTTTTAAAAATAAAGTGCATCAATTGATGTCGTTTTTGTCACGTCGCCAACGCTTATGTTTTATTTTAATAACTTTCCTGAGCAAGTGGCTTTAGCTCAATATTCCCATCGAAACCAAACTCAGTTTTGACCAAAATGAAAATTACTCATGAGCATGTCTCATTATTTATTTAACACGTTGGGTCACAATTTCTTTCTAACGATTGACTAATAGTATGTAATTCCAGTACAACTAATCTGCTGCTGATTTTGAGACTTTCATAAAACTCAAAATGAATGCAGAAAACTTCCACAAAAAAACGATCTAATTTTTCTAACTATCAGGTTGGCAACAAAGTTCTTGCGTTGTTTTGAAAATGTTCTAAAACATTCCAGAAAGTTCTAGAAGTTTCCATACTAAGGGTATATAAAGGGAGTGTGAATATCTTGTGAATGATAATAAAGTCATCAATATGGGCGCTGATCATGAACTGAAAATGGATCTTTCTCGTAGAGAGATTCGAGTGCTTTTACTTCATGAATTCCGTATGGGCCGCAAAGCAACGGAAGCAGCCAACAACATATGCAG